CCCGGGAAAGCAGGGAAGGACGATTTGTCTGCGGGACGCCCTTGCGGGGCCGTCGCGTCTGCTAAGACCTTTGGCGGAGAGGAGGAGGAAGAGGAGGAGGAGGAGGAGGAGGAGGAGGAGGTGCAGATGATGATGATGATGATGATGATGATGATGATGATGATGATGATGATGATGATGATGATGATGATGATGATGATGATGATGATGATGATGCTGATGCTGATGCTGATGCTGATGCTGATGCTGATGCTGATGCTGATGCTGATGCTGATGCTGATGCTGATGCTGATGCTGATGCTGACTCTGACGCTGACGATGACGATGACGATGACGCTGATGTTGATGATGATTATGCTGATGCTGATGCTGATGCTGATGCTGATGCTGATGCTGATGAATATGAATATTAATATGCTGCTGATGATGCGGATGATGCTTCTGTTGTTGATGATGATGATGATGATGATGAGGAATCTGATGCTGTTGATGATGATGCTGCTGATGCTGATGATGATGATGATGATGATGATGAGGAGGAGGAGGAGGAGGAGGAGGAGGAACAACACGATTGCGCGCACTTTTTGGGTCTTCTCCAGAGGGCCAATTGGTTTGCTGCAGTTGGCGCGCGGTTGGGTCGCGTTCCGTCCAAGGTATTCACCACAGCAGAGGCCATCAACGGGGTCAGTCAATCGCTAGCTGTCCGCTCGGGCGGGGTTGTTGGACGCGCTAGCCTTTCAACTGAATCCCCAACGATAAGTGCGAATGGACAGTTGAAGCAAGCCGATTGGGGGGTTGACGGATGAGGATGAGGAGGAAGAGGAGGAGGATGAGGAGGAGAAGGATTGCAGTGTAGTGTTGATGCCCTTAAGGGTAGCCATAACCCTTTCGAATCGGATGGGACACTTGGGCTCTCCCACCTTTGAACTGGGTGCTCGATGTTGTCACCTGGTAATGGTGGGTGATATGCGTGTGGCGCATATCCTGTGGCAGCCACCTCTGTCTGATAGCACCGTGACCAGGAGGATCAACACATGTGGGCCAGATGTCCCATCATGAGGGGACGACGAAAGATGGACCCAAGCATGATGTGTGACAGCAATGTGTATAAATGTGAGCCCCATGTTTTGTCAATGTCAACATTCGTGCCGACAGAATGCACCAAACCGAATTCGAGCACCAATGTGCGATCCCAGGGGGGCACGGGTTGTCCGCCACACGGGGGGTGTAGCTCGGTCTTCAAGTGACCTGAAAACATGTCCCGCACTTCGGTCCCCATGGGATGCCGGCGGAAATTCTGCGGAACATGTCCGATTCGTAGGCGGCCGCCTCCCAAGGGTGGCACTGGTGGGTCGGTGTTGAGGAGCCCTGTGGCAACTTAAACAGTCGCGTCCTGGTTCCCTGGATGGGGGCCCAGGATAATGGACGTACCCAGTTATGACCCTGTCCGAGTCCAAGGCAGCCCCGCTCCCGAGGTCTAGCGGCCACGCGGCCGAGACGCGGTTCAGAACCGAGGTAGACGCGGAGACGAAGGAATAGCAGTAGACAACAGCGGTCATAAGGCGAAAGGGGGTGAGCGGGGGAGTCAGCCAGTGAGAGGGGGAAGGAAGAGGCGAGCGGCGCAAAATATCTCCGCGAATGCTTAGGAGAACAATTCCGCCATTTGCACACAGCCGGGGGATTCGGCCTGACGAGGCCTAGCACAACCCGCCGGGGATATCGGCCTGACGTGGCCTCGAACATACCGTTGGGGATTTTGTCCTGACGTTCCCAGTCAGAGGAACATGGCTGGCATGGCAGGCCCAAGCCAAACCCCGCCGTGCCTAGGGGCTCGGAGGCGGCGAGGGGACAAGCGATAGCGAAGCGGTGCAGGAGCCGATCGCCTCGTAACTGTGGGAAGAGCGCGTTCTGTGGTCGCTTGGAGGAGGGGGGGTTTTGGAACCGGCCCCCCCCCCTCCTCCTATCTCCCTCTCCTCGGGCCGGCGCCTGCGTCGGCGGCGGCTGGCGGCGGCGGCGGGGACGACGACTTCATGTTCTGGGCCAGCGCCGGCGCCTGCGGCGGCGGGCGGCGGCGGCGGGGAGCGTCGACTAGGACGGTGGTGGTGGTGGTGGTGGTGGTGTGGTGGGGGTTTGTGGTGGTGATGGTGGTTGTGGTGGTGGGTGGTGGTGGTGGTGGTGGTGGTGGTTTGGTGGTGGTGTGGTGGTGGTTAGTGGTGGGGATGGTGGTGGTGGGTTGTGGTGGTGGTTTGGTGGTTTGGTGGTGGTGTGGTGGTGGTTTGTGGAAATGGTGGTGGTGGGTTGTGGTGGTGGCGGTGGTTTGTGGAGGTGGTGCTGATGGTGGTGGCGGCGGTGGTGGTTGTGGTGTGGTGGTTTGTGGTTGTGGTGGAGGTGGGTTGTGCTGCTGGTAGTGGTGGTGGTTGTGGCAGTGGTGGTGGTGGTGTGGTAGATTGTGGTGGTCGTGGTGGTGGGTTCTTGTGGTGGTGGTGGTGGTGAGTTGTGGTGGCGGTGGTTGTGGTGGTGGTGGTGGTGGCTGTGGTGGTGGTGGTGGTGGTTGTGTGGTGGGCTTGTGGTGGTGGTGGTGGGTTGAGGTGGTCGTGGTGGCGGTGGTGGTGGCAGTGGTGATAATCGTCGCTGCGTCCCCGCCGGCGCCGGCGCCGGCGCTGGCGCTGCTGGCCGCCGCCGCCGCCGGCGCCGGCGCGGTGGGGGGGGTTTGGACCTCCCCCCTTCTCCTTGGGCTGCCTCTGGTCATCGTCGCTTCGTCCCCGCCGTCGGCGTTTCTGGCGGCCGCCAGCGCCGGCGCCGCCAGCGCCGGCGCCGAGGGGGGGTGGGGTCGGGGAGGGGGGCAGAGGGGAGGGGAGTCCCCCTGGTTTTGATCGACGGCGCCGTGTGTTGGGCCCCCCCCCCGTCCCCCCCCCCGTTTCGAAACGCGCCGCCGAATGTTCCCAAGGCAAGCGCCCGTGAAACGCGCCCTCTCTAATTGTGGTAGGTATGCAGGACCGCCAGCATTGCCGCCGAGTTGTGTCCGGGAGAACACAACCTCCAACGAAACAAATGAAGACAAAACCTTTGGCTTACTGCCAGTCTGTGTCCGCATGCGGTTGTCTCGTAGGTGGGGTAAGCGTGCAGGCCGGGCTATGTCCCGGAGGTTACATGTCCGACGAATCGAATGAAAAGAGCAGGCTGTGTCCGCGAGACGCATGCGTTGTGAGCGGGGTAGGTGTGCAGGAGCGTTGGCTGTGTGTTCCTGAGTTTCAACCTCGGGCGAAACGAATGAGAACAACAGGCTGTGTGCGAGAGACGCATGCTTCGTGAGCGGGTTAGGTGTGCAGGAGCGCCAGCATTCCCGTTGGGCTATGTCCCGGAGGTCAAAAACCTCCGGCGAATCGAATGAACACAACAGGATGTGTCCAAGAGACGCATGCCTCGTGGGCGGGGTAAGTGTGCGGGACCGCCGGCATTGCCGCCGGGCTGTGTCCCGGAGGCCAGAACCGACTGAACGAGAACACTGGCGTTTCCGCCAGGCTGTGCCCAGAAAGCGCTTGCCACGTAGGTGGGGTAGGTGCGCAGGACCGCCGGCATCGACGCCGACCTGTGTCCCCGATAACCGAATTTCCAACGAAGCGAAAATGAAAACAAGACCGTTGGCAATCCGCCAGTCTGTGTCCAGTAATCGCTGGCCTCGTAGGTGGGGTAAGCGTGCAGGACCGCCGCCATTGCCGCCGGGCTACGTCCCAGAGGTTACATTTCCGACGAATCGAATGAAAACAACAAGCTGTGTCCGCGAGAAGCATGTCACGTGGGCGCGGTGGGTGTGCAGGACCGCGGGCATTGCGCCGGGTTAAGTCCCGGAGGGCAGAACTTCCGACGTGTCGAAAGTAAGCAAGACCACCGGTATTTCCGCCAGGTGCAGGACCACGGGCATTTCCGCCCGGTTGTGTCCCTGAGGGCAAAGCCTCCGACATGTCTAAAGAAAAGCAGACCGCTGGCATTGCCGTCAGTCTGATTCTAGGAGGCGCTTGCCTCGTAGATGGGGTAGGTGTGCAGGACCGCTGGCATTGCCGCAGGGCTGCGTCCCGGAGGGCTGAACATCCGACGTGCCCAAACATTCAAACAAAACAAAAACAAAACCACCCTTGCATTTCCGCCATGCTGCGTCCAAGAGGCGCCTGCCTCATGGGTGGGGTGGGTGCGCAGGACCGCCGGCATTGTCGCCGGGCTGTGTCCCGGAGGGCAGACCCTCCGACGTGTCGAAATAAAATAAGACCGCGGGCATTGCCGCCAGGGTGTGTCCAGAGAGCTCTTGCCGGGTAGGTGGGGCAGGTGTGCATGCAGGACTGCCGGCATTGCCGCTGGGCTGTGTCTCAGAGGTCGTAACTTCCGACGAACCGAATGTAAACAAGACTGCCAGCCCCTGCAGCCGAGAGGACCATCTTAAGCTCGCGTTCGGGGCGGAGTCCTACCTCAAGGGGATCTCGAGGCAGAGGCGTCACTTCACCGAAACAAAGACGGCGAGGTGTGCAGGACCTCCAGCCTCGCCGCCGGTTTGTGTCAGCGAGCGAGGTGAGATCCTCGTAGGCCGGCGTCGCCCGGCAACCTAACCCTTGGGGCCTTGTGCAGGTGCTCGTCGGGCGTGCGCTCACCGCACGCCCTCACCTGCGCCCCATGCGTCCTGCACCGCATCCGCCCCAGGGGTTGCGGAAACCTTCGGCATGGGGAGGAGGAGGAGGAGGAGGAGGAGGAGGAGGAGGAGGAGGAGGAGGAGGAGGAGGAGGAGGCGTAGGCGTAGGCGTAGGAGGAGGAGGAGGAGGAGGAGGAGGAGGAGGAGGAGGAGGAGGAGGATCAACACTTGCAGGAGCACGGTGGGGGAGCAGCATGTCGAGGAGGGGGAGGGGTACAATGTGGAAGGGGGCGAAAGGCGAGCATGTTTGTAGGAACGTGACAACGATGGGAGTGGTTCAGCATGCTGGCAAGCAACACCTGCCGAAAATAGCCACCTCCAGTGTGCGACAATTGGATAGCCATGCACTACCACAACCCGAAGAGGACCGTGCTGCTCTCCGCTCAGTGTGCGTGGGGTTCGGTCTTACTTCCCCGCCCCCAGCCAGCTCCGTCCTCCCTTCTCCGAGAAACGCCTGCCGCGTCTTCTTGCCCCCCTCTCTGCATCATTGACTGTCCCGTTCGGGAGCGGCACACATACATATACATATATACATATATATACACATATACACATACATGTATCTATATCCGTATCCGTGGCCTCGCGGGCCCGGCACCTTGGCCGCGACTCCCGGAGAATATGGGAGCTTTTTCGCGGACGCCCCGCGCGGAAAGCCTCCGTGCGACCGCGTATCCGCGGGATCGCGCTCCAGAGTCCAGACCGCGAGGGTGCGGATACGGACATGTTCGCCGCGCGTGATCGACGCCCTTCCGTACCCGTGTCTCAGCCTCCCGTGTCTCATTGAGCGTGTTCCATTACTCGCAGAGTGCCTACCCGCAAACGCCCGAAAAACACATGTCTGCCTCAAAATCAATGTATCGTAGATCCCCCACCGCGGATCCGGGCCATTGGCGAGCAGCTTTTTTGCGAGCATTGGATGCGGGCAATATTTATACCCATATCCAGTGCGTCTTGGACTTTCTTGGAAGGGGCGCCGCAAGGCCGAGGCGCACTGGATATGGATAACAATTGAGCCTTTTGGAGGCAGATTATAATCCATATCCAGTGCGCCTCATGTTTCTTGGGAAGAGTGTCCGAAACTCCAAGACGCACTGGATGTGGATAAAGAAATTGCCCGCAGTGGAGCGCGCTCGTCCGGTGTCTCTCTCTCTCTCTCGGCGGTGGCGGGCGACGCCGTGGCGTGGGCGCGGCGGGCGTCGGGCCCCGGGCGTGGGCGCGCGCTCCTCCTCCCCCTCCCCCTGCTGCCTCCCCCGGCTTCCCTCCCCCTCCCGCGCACGTGGTCCGCTCGGCGGACGTTTTCTTTCTCTTGGTCGTCTTTTTGCTTCGCTCTCTCTCTGCCTCTCTGTCTCTCTGTCTCTCTGTCTCTCTGGCCGGAGCCCACGGGGCCGGGTCAGGCAGGCCTGAGACAGGGGCAACGCGTTCAGGCGCGTCCCAGAGCGCTCTCCGAGGGTTCCAGAGCGCTCTGAGAAGGCCGCGGTGCCCGATGTATCCTTCAGAGTCGCCGCATCTCAGAGATCCCTGATTAAACCCAGTCCAATCATGTCCCTGTCCTGGCATTTTCTTGCTGAAGCTGGTGCCGCCTGGCCAGCTGTGCGTGTCTGGGCCTCCATGGGGTCGGAGGATCACGCCACATCGCCGATGCATCGGCGATGCGGCTCGACGTGGAACCCGACTTTCTCCACGCCGACGGCGCCGATGCATCGCCGACGTCGCCGATGCATCGGATCGGTGATGCATCGCCGATGTGTCCGCAGTGCGGCGCGATCCTCCGACCCCGCCCTCTCGGGCCCTCGGGCCCCACTTGGGCGGCCTCTCGCGTGCTGGGCCTCCCCCCGCGGCTCGCCCCAGAGCTCGCGGCGCGCTCCAGAGCTCGGCTCTGCGCGCCGAGCATCGGGCCGCGGGGGCGCGGAGCCTCCAGGCAGCCCGCCTCCCCCGCCGGCCTCCGCGCGTGTCCGGAGCGCCCGGTCACTCACACCTCCATCGGGCCAGGGCACCTCGGCCCCACCAGCGCGCCAGCCCAGGGGGGGGGGTCCGCCCTGGACGCGGCGGCGAGGTCCGAGCCCCACCCTCGCCGCTCAACGGCTCAGGCGATGCGATCATCGAGTCGGGAGAATCGATGGCTGGATGGGGCAGGGCTCGGGCGTCGCACCTGTCGAAGCCCGAGGGGAGCACCCTATACCCCCATCCAGGGCGGTGGAGCGGCCAGTGGGGCCATGGCCGTGCCAGTGGGGATGGGGGATCGTCTCAACTCGGAGTCCCGAAGCGGTGCGGTGACAGACCTTGCCGTGACACCGAAATCCCCCAGGACCTCACTGCACGGTCCGTCGGCGCACGGCTCTGAGACCCTGGAGGCCCCGGTTGCCCGAGGCGTCTTCGGAGAACGACCCGAGCCCCAAAACCGTGCGGTGACCTCGAACCCCAACCGACTCACCACACGGTATGGTCACCGCCCCGTTTGAGGACCTCGCCTTCGCCGACCTCCGCGTGCGTGCGCAGAGGCGAACGTCGGCCCGAAGCTGTCGGAGCAGGGCTTGTCGAAACAAACGGCGGTGCTCTCCAGCGGGCGTTGTCCTTTGTTGGGTCTCCTGGAGGCTTCTCCTCCTCCTCATCCCTCGTCCGCCTCCTCCTCCTTCTCCTTCTTATCCTCCTACAGGCGATGGGTTCGATTCAGAATGCATCACGAGTTAGAGGCAGGAGGAGGTGATTCTTCTTTGGGATTGCCTCAACAGTCTTGGTTCAGCAGTTGCCTGTTCTCTTCGTGAGTCTGATAGAGTTGAGACGGCAGAGCCAAGTTCAATTGATGAGAGCATGCAGATACGCACAGTCTCTGGCAGCAGCAAGTTTGAATCACAGTTTGTACCACCTGACCCACAGGAAACACTGGTCTCAGCTGATCCTGCCGTGGGAGATCAGAATAGTGATTCTAATACCTGCCGCCAATGTGGGGCCAGCCTACCAAGCCAGGTCAGACCCGACAAGGTGCACACGACAAAGGTTCGCACGTGGAGGATTGTCACTGCCAACCTGACCTCAGCCCAGAAGGAGGCGGCGAAGCTAACGCAGATCGCGGCCGAGGTGATGGAGATCGAGGTCGAGGCTGATGCTTTGCTCATCCAGGAGCACAAGCTTCTCAAACCGGCTGTCGGCCACGCGGTGGTGAGGCTCAAGCATCAGGGGTGGCACTTCCGCATCGCGCCAGCCAAGCAGGTAAACACTGCTACCACAGCGTCGCCAGGAGTTGCAGTCGGAGTACGTCAAGACATCGGCTCTGCTGATCCACCTGATCTTGGAGGAGTTGCACCACCAACGTCAAGGTGGACAACAAAATGGATCGACGGCATGCTCCCTGGCGGCTTCGTCCTGGCCTCGGTGTACCTCATCTCTGGCAACCAGCGCAAGGATGTGGAAGATAACAATCGGCAGATTATCGTGCAGTGCTTCGAGCAGCTCAAACGGCTTGGGCGTCCATTCATCATTGGAGGTGATTGGAATATGAGTCCACTGGACTTGGAGGAGCTGAACGTCTTGAATGACATGCCTGCTACTGTAGTGGCTCCTTTCGAGTGGACGTGCTCGGCAGGACGTGGGAGGACTATTGATTTTTTTTTGTGATTTCCAAGCATTTCAAGAGCTTGGTCACAGGTGTACGAAGACTGGAGGGACTCAGCTTGGCGACGCACTGGGGAGTCTTGCTCGACTTGGAGGCAGGACCAGGCGCAGCGATGGAGCAGCAGATCGTCATGCCCAAGAAGTTCCCCAGAGAGTGCCCCCTTGGGGCTCCCAGGGCACCACCTTTGTACGCTCAGGTGCACAGTGAATGCGAACATGCACGAGAGTCTCAAGATCTGAAAGAGCGTGTTCTACCGCTGCTGGCGGAAAACCGGGGGGGGTCACTGCCCCGGTTGGACCCCCCCCCCCCCTCCGGAAAACCGGGGGGGGTCACTGCCGGTTCGAACCCCCCCCCCCAGCTCATCATGAAAAGGGGGGGGGGTCACTACCGGTTCGAACCCCTCCCCCCCCCCCCTCTCGAAAACCCAGTGGGGGTGCGGACAGAGGTGGGGACGGTGTTGGTGGGACAGTGGTGAGGGGACAGCGGGACAGTGGTGGGGACAGTGGGACAGTGGGACAGTAGAGGGCCGGTAGTGGTGGGGACAGTGGTGAGGACAATGGTGGGAACAGGGGGGACAGTGGACAGTGGTGGGGACGGTGGTGGTGGTGACAGTGGTGTGGGCACAGTGGGAATGAGGTGGAAACAATGGGACAGTGGAGGGTACAATGGTGGTGGGGACAGTGGTGAAGGCGGTGGCGAGGACGGCGGTGGGACAATGGGACAGAGGTGCAGTGGGGACAGTGGTGGGGGCAGTGGGGACAGTGGTGGGAACAGTGGGACAGCTCAGTGGGACAGCGGAGGAGTCAGTGGGACAGTGGGGACAGTGGGGATAGTCGGGCAGTGGTTGGGGCCGTGGAGACAGTGGGGAGAGTGGAACCGTGGTGGGAACAGTGGTGGGGACAGTGGGGACAGTGCGACAGTGGTGGGGGCACTGGTGGGGACAGGGGACGGTGGTGGAACCAGTGGGGACAGTGGTGGTGAGGACAGTGGTGCTGGGAACAACAGTGGGGGATGTGATGCGGACGGTGGTAGGGACCGGGAGTCGTTTGCTGGCGGTGAGTGGGGGGTGGGGAGGGGTTCGAACCGGTATCCCCCTCCGGTTTTCGAGGGGGGGGGGGTTCGAACCGGTAGTGACCCCCCCCCGGTTTTCGGAGAGGGGGGGGGGGGGGAGGGGGGGGGGGGGGGGGGGGGGGGGGAGGGGTCAGCAGGGGGGGGGGATTTTCGGGGGGGGGGGGGGGCGCGACCCCTGGGTTCCGGAGGAAAAGGTTGGCAATTTTCCACAGTAAAGCGGCGGTGGATCACGCTCTCTCCAAGATCTAGACTGGTGCTTCCAGAAGTGGGTTCAGTTGGCAGAGCAGGAGCTGGTTGACCGTGATCACCTTCCTGACAGCAAGCGACGAGCAGCAGGGCGGGCAGCGCTTGCTGAGCCGCAGTTCAAATTGCTGGCAGCAGCTCGCAGAGCACCAGGGAGAGGAGCTGAAGGAGGTCCCACCTCACGCAACTGGAGGAGGGCGTCCATGGTGTTCCAAGACCTCTTACATGCGCTTAAGAGAGAGCGGGAGCTCGACTCACAATTCGTGCAGCAACGTTTGCAGACGCTTCGCAACCTGCGGGGCAAGAACTTGGATATGGGCAACGCTTGGTTGGTCTTCTGGCATCGGATCGACTATGAGTGGAGCTGGGTAGATGAATGGCTTCGCGGGTGCAGTTGGTTTGCAGCGAAAGAGGCCGCCAAGTTAGAGCAGCAGTATGCGAAGAAGAGAGTCAAGGAATGGAGGCAAGCAGTAGCAGAGCCCATCGAACAGGAGCAAGCGAAGGCGCACAGATGGAGCAAGCTACCGACTATGTCGACACAAGCTGAAGTACATCCTAGCACGGGGATCAAGTGTCATGCGACAACCTTAGCCGCAGATCTTCGGCAATGGTTAAAGATATGGAATCATGATCCTGATGCTGAGTCTTTTGGATCAGGTCTTCACTTACAGCAGATGGAGGATGAAGGGCAAATGGGGCCTCTTGAGGTGGGGCAGATCCGCAAGGCAGCGCTGTCGTTCAAAGTGAAGTCGGCTTCAGGCATCGACAGCCTTGGGCTTAGAAACATGGAATTGTTACCTGATGAATGCTTGCGCGCATTCAGTGGAGTGGTGGAAGTCGCGGAGAGAATAGTGGACGTTCCAAGCCAAATGAAGAATGCTGTTTTCCACGGCTTCCCAAACCTGAGGGGGGCCACAGATTGATTGGTTTGATGACGGACGCGCTTAGGGTTTACAACAGGTGCCGACGACATGTTCAGAGAGGGTGGCTTCAAGAATACGCACGACCGTACCACTACGCAACGTCGGGGCAGAGCTCCGAGCGCGCGGTGCGGGCGCAGTCGTTATTCGCAGAGGCGGGCAGAGCACTTATGAGACACTCGGTGACTGTAATGCTCGACTTGCAGAAAGCCTTTGGGGAGATCCCGCGTGCCCCCCCCCCCCTGGGCGATTGGATGCAGACATAAGTTTTCGAAGAGGAGACTAGCCATGCTTATCAAGACGCACGCGAGTAAACGGGGCCTCAAGTTTGGAAAGGGCGCGTCCAGATTTATTTCCGCGAATCAAGGGGTCATCGCTGGATGTTCTGATGCCACCGCCGTGATGATCCTGTTCATTTGGGGCGCGCGCGATCAGGTCTACGCGATGTTGCCCTCGCCCACCATCAGTATAGTCGTGGATGATGACAGCTTGCAAGCGTCGGGCACGGAAAAAGATACAGTTCGGACCATTATTGCAGCGGCAAAGATGCGGTGCAGACTCCTGGTCAAGCTGGGATTGGAGTTGAGTCCGAACAGGGGGCATGTGATAGCGACGACACCGAAGATGACAGAAAAGGAGTGGAGATGGCACTTAGTGGCTGGGCTTTTCGGCGAGCACGTGATGTGAGACAGCTTGGTCACGATCGTCGCATGTGAGGAGGTGTAAGGAAACCGACGCATCGTGGGCGTGTTGCAGCAGTTGGACGTAGGGCTCCACGCTTCAGAAGGTTAGCGCAAGGAGGAAGGCAGATGGGGCAGCTTTTTCGTTCAGGAGGTCTTGCGTCGGTTGGCTGCGCGGCGAAGGTGCAGTGCATGGGCGACGCACAGTTGCATAAGGTACGGGCGCTGTCAGGACATGCGCAGTTCGGATCAGCGCGTGGAAGAAGCAGCACGATGGAGTTTCTTGTATCTCACTGTCCTCGATCGGACCCAACCTTCATTGCTGATGAGTATCCATTGGCTTACTGGATGAAGGCGAAGTGGGGGCAGTGGGTCAAGCCGAAGGCCATGGCCTTGGCAGTCATGCACGCCCAAAATCATACCAGGACGTGGCAATCTGTTCAAGGACCAGCTGGAACAGTTCTGATGACGCTACGCAGAATGGGCTGGAGAGCAGAACGTTGGAACGTTTGGTTCATGGGTCGAGGCTCGCGAGTCGACTTAGACGACATTGGAGTCGGCATTTTGAAAAAATTGGTCTATGTTTCCACCAGAAGGCGTCTTCTTGCAGCTGTTCCTGGTAGTCGTGGCATGGAAGGGCTTACTGGACCGCCGATTCTGGAAGCAATTATCAAGGTGATCGCGGAGCCTGGTAAGCAGGGGGATTTCAAAGGAGCTGGCCTTCTTCGAACATGGCTAGCTGGAGGTTTCTTTAACCAAGTGCGTTTACACGATGTGCAGGCGACTGACACCCCGCTCTGCGCGATCTGTGGAGTTGAGCAGGGCACAGACCTGCACGGGTGTTCCAGATGTGATTGGCATCTCACGGAACGGCAGGATTGGAGTGGATATGAGAGAAAGCTCATGCTGTGGGGACGCAATGAGTATGGTCAGGACCACCCGTGCACCATGATGTTGTGCAAGGGCCTCTTTCCTGACCCGTTGTTCCAGTTGCCAGGTGCGTTTTAGCGCGGCGCTATTCGCTGGCATGTTTGCACTGTCTCTGGGCTCAGCAGCGGGGTGGTTTGTGTTGACGGCAGCTGCATCTTTCCACGCTGTGAGTTTCGGGCACGTGGTGGATGGGCTTTCTGCATGATTGACGCGGTGGGCAATGTCATCGCCCCTTTCCGTGGCAGACCTCAGGGGCAGCAGAGTTGCATGCAGCTCGTCAGGCGATTCCTCGCAAGTCGCAAGGCCGGCTGCACCTGATCGCGGTTTTCAAGGGGCTCTACGTCGGCTGGCAAGCAGGATACCCCTACTGCGCTCACTCTGACCACCAGTATGCAGAGTTCTGGGTTCAGTTGTGGAAGACAGTCGACGACGTCGGGGCTGAAGAGATTGACATCGAGTGGATTCCCTCGCGCCTGTCTCAGGCAAAAGCGACTGAGCTGCAGATTCTTTTGGCCTACTGGCACGGCAACAAGCTCGTCGACTTCTACGCCAAGGTTGGTGCAGCCATGCACCCCGGAGATTTGCCTCAGGAGCGTGCTCGCCAGATGCGTGGGCAAGCGGCAGCGTTGACACTGAAAACTGCGCCGCGCATCCTGCGCCGCTGTTCGAGCGGAAGATGGGCAGATGTCGAGAAGAAGGAATATGCTGAGAGGCCGATTGGCCTCACTCTGAGTGATGACAATGGGTATTTAGTGCGTAGGTATAAAGGAAGATGGATTTGCGCGAGGTGCGGAGAGAGCCGCGCTCGGAGGTGCCATCTTGTGAACTTGAGCTGTGGAGGACCCCCTAAGGAGGCCCAGGCGGCTCATGAGACGCACCGTCTCTGCAAAACGGGCCCGATGGTTTGGTGTGTAGATTGCGCTGCGAGGTGTGTGAGCAGAGCTTTTATGATAGCCAGACCTTGTAAAGGTAGGCCTCTCCTGGTTTCACCGAGGCACTTTAAGAGGAAGTACCTTATCCAGGGGAAGGGCCCGTCAGGCGAAAAGACCGGAAATGGGTTTCACAAACTTGTGCCGATCACCTCGCGTAGCTGATTTTTCGGAATTAGCGCTTATGATTTATCGCGTTTCTGGCTTGGTGTCTCGTTCTCGGAGCCCCATCGTCATCATCGGAACCCTCGGAACCCTCCTCCTCCTCCTCCTCCTCCTCCTCCTCCTCCTCTGCCTTCTCCGCATCACCGCTGGATCCGATTCGGGCAGATTTCCAGGCACAGGTTCGGTCACTACACCGCCCTGATAGAAACGAGGCTGCGTGAGAATTCTATCCGTGCTGCTGCTCTGACCCCTCGTGTGGGGTCGGAGCGTGAGTGGGGGCATGGACAAGACGTCGACCGCCCACCTTCCGCCTGCCCCTCAGCGCGGCGCCAGGACCCGCTACGAGATCCTCGTGGTCGAGTTCTTCCAGGACGGGCGGTGCTCTCGCCCCCATCCAGGGGCTCGGCGGGACGCTGGCTGACTTTGGGTTCTTTGCGAGACACCGCCGATCCAAAGTCGCTTAGGCATATTCCGAATGACCATACCCACGACGACCATACCCACAACAGTCATACTCAAAACGAGGACTCCAAACTCATTCAGGTATGCTCAAAAACGTTGGTGTATAAGATGCCAATGTGCACATCGTGCGCATGCTCAACGGCCGTACTCGCCCGCCTTGCGCACGCGGCATACTTTGGCCTCAAAGATTGGAGCGGCCAGTTCTTGTCAATTCTCAGCTTTGGGGGGCCCTCAGCGGGCCCCGGGACCGTCGAAAAACGGCTCAGAATGACGAGTCGGTTCTGGGGAAGTGGTCCAGACGTCCTGAGGTCCAGGCATCGACAAATCGGAGCGCCAGATGTCTGGGACGGCTGGACGCGGCTCGAACAAGTTGGCGGTGTCGGTCCTGGGAGGAGTCCAGGAGGGGTCCGGGGATTGGTTCGAGCAGCTTCTCTTGCGCCCCTTCCTCTGGACAGACGTTCTCGGGGCCCGTCCAGCGCAGACTCCCGGCCACTTCCCGGATGCGAGTGGGAGCGGTTCTAGGCATACCCTCCGCCACTGGCCAGGCCCATCCTGTGCCCGGGATCGGTGCAGATGCCGCCACGGCCGAGCCATGGGGCCGCTCCTGGGCGCAGGGGTTGGCCTGTCCAGGCGCGGTGGACGTGTGTGGATCTCGCCGCCCTGGCCAGGTCACCCGCGAAGGGTGCGAAGATAGTCGTGCGTCGCGCGTCGCGTGCCAGGGCAGGATAGCCGACCTTTTTCAGGTGACTCTGCGAGGGGACGAAGGCAGTGGCGTGTCGCGCATCGCGGGGCACGACGCACGAAGTTGGGCGACCCAGCGGATGCGGTTCTGTTGGTCTCGCGACGCATCCCAGGAGCTCCCAGGGCTTGCTGGCGTAAACCCGCGCTTGGGATCAGGACCGCACTCTGGTGGTCGTGCCCTGCTCGAGGAGCCAGAACGGCACACGTAAGCATCAGTTCTTCGAAGCTCCGTGCGGACTTCTTTGGATCGGCGCTGGGCTCTCCCTGCGCCGCCCCTGGCACGCCCCGCGCGCCAGTGAGGGGGTCCAGCGCCGATCCGCGGAATCCGCGCGGACCTCCGACCGTTTCTGCCTGTGCTGCTCCTTGTGCTGTTTTGTGGTTGCTCTGTGGGAGGCCAGGGGCCCGACTGCGGCCTACTTCTGATTTGCGGCCGTCGAAGAGGTCGCACTATCGCCTCCGCCTTCGGATCTTCAGCCGGGTTTCGGCCGCCCAGGCCGCCTCCCTGCATGCATTTTCTCGCGGCACGAAGTGGTGGCTGTATTTCTTTGCCTCCCCAGGCAGCTCCAGATGAGTTTCTGCAGAGCCTCCCTCCCCCACCGCATCCCCCATTAAGCGGGACCACCCTGAAAGCTATCTCCCCCACCCTTTAGTTGTGCGACCCCGACATTATATGATGCCGCTGGCGTGGCTGTGCCTTGAAACTCTATCGACCTGCGATGGCTTGATCTCTGTATTGATGGTTTGGCGGCGCGTCATCGCATATGTGAGCTTTCCAGTCCTGTTTGTTTCCTGGATTTTCTGGGCCCTGGGACCGATGATACGGTGGCGAGTGTCAAGGGCACGGTTTTGGACACCTTGCCCCAGACGTCCCAAGCTGCTGAACACCAGGCCATGGCCCGCCTTCCTATGCTCCAGGAGTGCGGAGGGACCAGGTACGAGGACAGCATGACCGTTGTCAAACTGTGCGGTGCAGATCCTGCACACCAGCTTTCAATACATCCTAGATCTGCCGGCTTTCGGCGTGGAGCGCTGCTGCATGAGAAGAAAGGAGAGGTTGCTCCAGTGCTGCACACTCCCGCCCCCCGTGAGAGAAGTGTTATCGTGTTCTTCGTCAGTTCTATAGAACGCCGCATCGGAGTGCACAGTTCCTTATTTCCTTATTTCCTTATTTCGTGTTTTTCCTTCTATTATCGCGTTATTCCTTGTTTCCGGTTCTTCATTATTTCTATAGAGTTGCAAATTGGAATGCAGATGCCCAGGCCGAGCAAGCTCTCCTCGACCACCCTCAGCCGTCCCAGTTTGACATGCAGGAGGTGAACAGGACATGTAAGCTACTTCTGGTTGCTGCACGCGTTGTTGGCGAAGTTCTGTTCGTTCCTTCCTCCGCAAGCTTCGAGCAACCAGACGCTGGTCCCAGGGCCAAGTTTTTTTTTATCGGGTGGTTGGCATGTGTGAGGGGACTCTGAGCGGGGTCGCTCCAGATGCCTCCACTGTCTGACCCTTTGGACTGACCCGACCACCAGGCCCATGCTTGGTTGTAAAGGCATGAGTCGCACGTGGAGTCAGGCTCTGGATATGTCGTTCGGGTAATCTCTAGCTCTTTACAGAGTGTTTAGGGAGATGCTGAAACGACTTGATCTTTCAGCACTGTGCGCGGGGCTTACACGTCAGGCCGATGCCACAAGGTAGGACAGGAGTGCTTTCAACATAAGCTTTGCTGTGCTCCCACGACTTTGCGCAGGATTCATGACGGGGTTTGTCCCCGCTGCCGTGACAAGTACGCGGTAACGACCAGCTCGCGTCGTGGCTCTGTTTATGTGTGCTATGTTGCCACGCAGCCGCCTGCTCCTGAGGTTTTTGCTGTCAGCCTCTCTTGGATTCGCCTCCTGGCAATCCGAGGATGGCGGCGCTGGTGAAACGCATTCAGGCTAAGGAAGAGGTGGCGAAGGAAGCAGTGCCGATGGCTGCAGCCTCCACCTCTTCAAGTAGCGCATTTTGCTCTGTCGAGCCCGCTCTGTCTATGTTGCCGGGGGGTGGGGAAGTGGGTCGGACGGCCTCGCGCGAGGTAATGAGGGGGTTGCAGCCTCGCCTCAGCTCACGCGCCTGCTGTATCTGTACAGGGTGGGCGAGGCACTGGGCGGTGCCCCCACCATCTCTGTGGTCTCCGAGGCGTCCGAAAGTCCAAACCAGGATTCCAGATAGGCGATGAGACGTATTGCTGAATCTCTTCGGGCCGATACGATGCGATGCGATGCGACCCACACTTCAGCCCCTACGGGGCGGTTCTCTAAGAGGGCATGCATATGGGACACGCAGTCCCGGCATCCGGGCGCGGTGGAAGATGAGCCGCTAAACTGTGGAACATTCAGGGTAACACAGAGGGAGCTGCGGGCAGACAGGCATGACAATGCTCAAGCGGTTAAGGCGGAGGAGGCGGAGGAGGTGGAGGAGGAGGAGGATTTGGAAAAGAGAATGTGAGCTCTGCTGCTCGAGTGAACATCATTATGTGACAAGCTGCATGGCGACTGGAACACCTGAGTCTCAGAGCCTGTTCCTTGTCACGAAGCCTTCCTCCATCGCATTCCATGTGTCTGCCTGTTCTGCACACTTCTGCCAAGAGCTGTTTATACCCTGACCGCGAAAATGCTCCCGAACATCAGCATCCCATCGCATGTTCGTTCTCCCAGCTGGCCGACGAACCGAATCAGAGGTCAATGTAGGATCGCGGTGCATCGCTTTTGAAGCCCAACGGTTCACCCAAGACTCAATATTTGCTAGTTGGAGGTGATGCTCCGTCGTTCGCGTCGCACTCTTGATGAACTTCACATCAAGGCTCTATCAATGTAACTTCCGTTTCAGCGGGATGTGAATTCTCGGATCAATGCGCATGGTTTTTGTTCCACGTTGGCGCCATTCAAAGCCGTATTTGGTGTGCCTGATTTTTCCCGGGCGATACCTTTCTTTCTTGCGCCTGGCATGTGCCTCAGCATTTTCCGTTGTGTACATGCGATCTTGTGCTCAGCATCCCTTGTCATTGGCCACGCTTCACTTCCGTACCATAACGTCGACGCAAGGTTGCTGTTCAGTAGCCGGACTCGGTCCCGAAAAGTATATAGCTTGTTGGTCAACTCTTGCTTGCGTGCTCCATATGCTGCCCACACTTTCCGGCTGCGGTTGTTGAGCTCGCACTCGAATGGGTTGTCGCATGGTCGCATGGTGCAGGACGCCACACATGTTTTACCGACGACGTCCTCGAAATGATTTCGTTTTTCCATGCCATCAATGCGCACCGTTGCGACGGTTTGCTTCCCTGACTCCTTCGCGGCATGTGTGAATGCTTCTGTTGTCTGGATGTATAGATAAACCCACCGATGCACTGGCCTGTTTGATGTCGTATACCATGGGTTTTATCAGGTGCAACGTGTTCGCCACGACAAGCACGTCATCTGCAAAGCGTGAATTGGTCAACGTGGTGCCGTCCTTCGAGTCGAGGGGGACGAAAGCTCCTTGGTTGAGTGTCTTCGGAACCTAACGACGGGGTTTCTGACTAAAGTTTACGCTTTCGAGGGGTAAGCCTACAGGCGGCCGTCTTGCCAGGCGGGACTTCTCTTTCACCTCATGCCCCTCTTCTCCTTCCTTTTTTTTTGTCGTGCTGCCTGACGGTGCTGGTGACGCGCAGCCAGCCCTAGAACTCGGGCCGCGGGGTTCCGCCAGTGCACGGAGGACTCTGTGGCACGCCATCTGGGCTGCTGGCTCGTCCGATGGCCTCCGCTTTTTGTTGCGCCCTTTGGGCGTCGCGGGTAGGGATGAGACATCCGCACCCCCGCTCAGTCCGACGAGTCTTCCTCGGATTGATAGGTCGTCCTTTAAGTACCAGAATCGTTTCGGCCCTATGGGATCGCACATGAACGCGTCGAGCTGCTGGCCATTTAGCTCAGCACGGCCAAGGGTAAGTGGGGGGCGGGGGTCAGAGGTCCACTCAGGGAGGGTAGTGGATCTTAGGCATAAGAGCCGCAGTGCTGCTCACGAGAGGCGATGATATGTCTCAGTTGTGCTGGTGCGAGGAGAGGCTCTTGAGTTACACGAGTTTCACAATGGGCTACACAATGGGTGCAGGAAGTTTAGGGCAGGTGGAAGAAAAGAGAGAAGTTCCGGGAGTGAGGATGAGATACGATCGGCAAGGAAGATTGCACGAGGCACGGACCCAGAGATTGATGAGGGAGGGTTTGATTTTTCATCTTCGGGCGAGGCCAAGACGGACGATGGCCCCTGGGACATCTTGTTCGGAGGCAAGGGGCTCAACCACTCGAAGTCTGGGCACCACCTGGACACTCCGGCTCCCGCCTCGTCAGCCACAAGACGCCCGTGCTTTGTTTTTTCCATCTTTACAGTGTTTCGCAACGGCAATGGAGAAGTATCAAATCCACGCTCCAGGCTACGTCTGCTGAGGGAGTCAGATATGCCCATGTCCTTTCACAGAGCTCAGGGCGATGCGTGAGAAAGTCAGAGATGCGCGTGATTCATCGAAATGTTGTTGTTCTGATTGATTGTAGTGTGATGTTGCGCTTGCATTGATCAAGACGTTGCTGTTACGGTTTTGAGCCACACAGTCGTACCATATCTTAGTCAGGTTGCCCACTCGTAGTGGAGCTTATTCGATTTTCGAGCCAACTTGCCACTGCTGTAGGCCTGTGCGGATGCTCATTCGTAGCTGCCGTCATGCGTCCCGGAAACCTAATTTTGGCAATTTTCACCCACCCAGTACAACGTTTCGTGTCCCCATAGGAAGCTCCACCGAAGCCCCCAGTGGGACCGTCTGCATGTGTCCCCGAAACCCTATTCGGCATTTTGACCCACCCAGTACAACGTTTCGTGGCCTCATGGGGAGCTCCACCGAAGCCTCTAGTGGGACCGCCCGCGTGCGTCCCGAAAATTCAATTTGGCATTTTCACCCGCCCAGTACAGCTGCTCTTCGTGGCCCCATGGGGAGCTCCACCGAAGCCCCCAGTGGGAACGCCCGCGTGCGCCCCGGAAACCAAATTTGGCTTTTTCATTCACCCAGAACATCGCTTCGTGGTCCCATAGGGAGCTCCACCGAAGCCTCCAGTGGAGCCTCCCGCATGCGTCCCGGAAGCCTGATTTGGCATTTCCACCCACCTAGAATAGTGCTTCGTGGCCCCATAGGGAGCTCCACCTAAGCTCCCAGTGGGACCGCCCGCATGCGTCCCGGAAACGTCATCTGGCATTTCCACCAACCCAGTACAGCGCTTTGTGGCCCCATAGGGAACTCCACCGAATCCCCCAGTGGGACCGCCCGCGTTCTGGAAGCCCACGCTGGCATTTTCATCCGCCCAGTACAGCGCTTCGTGGCCCCATAGGGAGCTCCACCGAAGCCCCCAGCGGGACCGTCCGCGTGCGTCCCACACACCCAGTTCGGCATTTTCACCCACCCAATACAGCGCTTCGCGGCCCCATACGGAGCTCCACCGAAACCCCCAGAGTGACCGCCCGCATGCGTCTCGGATGCCTAATTTGGCATTTCCACCCACCCAGTACAGCGCGTGGCCCCATAAGGAGCTCGACCGAAGCCCCCAGTGGGACCGTCCGCATGCGCCCCTAAGCCCAATTTGGCATTTTCACCCACCCAGAGCAGCGCTTCGTGGCCCCATAGAGAGCTCCACCGAAGCTCCCAGTGGGACCGCCCGCATGCGTCGTGGAAACCAAATTTGGCATTTTCACCCACCCAGTACAGCGCTTCGTAGCCCCATAGGGAGCTCCACCGAAGCTCCCAGTGGGACCGCCAGCATGCGTCTCGGATGCCGAATTTGGCATTTTCACCCACCCAGTGCAGTGCTTCGTGGTCCCATATGGAGCTCACCGAAGCCCCCAGTGGGATCGCCCGCATGCGTCTCGGAAGTCTAATCTGGCATTTTCGCTAACCCAATACAGCGCTTCGTGGCCCCACAGGGAGCTCCACCGAAGCCCCCAGTGGGACCGTCCGCGTGCGTCTCGGAAACTCATTTTGGCATTGCCCCATAGGGAGCTCTACCGAAAACGCCAGTGGGACCGTCCGCATGCGTCCCGGAAGCCTAAGATGGCATTTTCACCCACCCAGTACAGCTCTTCCTGGCTTCGTAGAAAGCTCCACCGAAGCCCCCAGTGGGACCGTCCGCATGCGTCCAGGGAAACCACTCTGGCATTTTCACCAACCTAGTAAAGCGTTTCGTGGCCCCATAGGGAGCTCCGCCGAGGCCCCGGTGCCACCGTCCGCATGCGCCCGAGAAACTTAATTTAGCATCTTCACACACCCAGAGCAGCGCTTCGTGGCCCCATGGTGCGTGGGGCCGCCCGAATGCGTCCAACACACCCAATTTGGCATTTTCACCCACCGAGTACATCGTTTCGGCGCTTCATAGGGATCTTAATCGAAGCACCCGATGGGACCCTTCGCATGCGCCCCGGAAGCCCAATTTAGCATTTTCACCTACCCGGTACAGCGCTTCGTGGCCCCATGGGGGGTTTCACCGAAACCTTTGATTAGGACCGCCCGCGTGCGTCCCGGAAACTCAATTTGGTATTTTCACCCGCCCAGTACAGCGCTTCGTGGCCCCATAGGGAGCTGCACCGAAGCCCCCACTGGGACCGCCTGCGTGCGTCCCACACCCACTCTGGAATTTCTACCCACCCAGTACAGCGCTTCGTGGCCCCATAGGGAACTCCACCGAATACGCCACTGGGACCGTCCGCATGCGCCCCGGCAACCTAAGATGGCATGTTCACCCACCCAGTACAGCGCTTCGTGTTCCCACCGAAACCTCCATTGGGACCGCCCGCATGCGTCCCACACGCCCAATAGGACCACTCAATGCTGACGGGCATGCTGAATTATTCACTGCGTGGGGATCCCCATATGTGCATCTCCTTGCTGGCGCTCCCTTGGTGGTGGGACTCGGTGAGGACGAATCTGGATTTAAGTGTGACTGAGCTGCCTCTCTCTCTGCTCTCTCTGTCTCTCTCTCTCTCTCTCTCTCTCTCTCTCCCCTCTCTCTGTCTCTGCCTCTCTTTCCCTGCCTCTCTCTCTCTCTCTGCCTCTCTCTCTGCCTCTGTCTCTCTGCCTCTCTCTCTCTCTGCCTCTCTCTCTCTCTCTCTCTCTGCCTCTCTCTCTCTCTCTCTCTCTCTCCTCTCTCTCTTCTCTCTATTCTCTCTCTGCTCTCTCCTCTCTCTCTCACTCTCCCTCTCTCTCTCTCTCGCTCTCTCTCTTCTCTTCTCTTCTCTCTCTCTCTCTCTCTATCTCTCTCTCTCTCTTTCTCTCTCTCTCTCTCTCTCTCTCTTCTCTCTCTCTCTCTTTCGCTCTCTCGCTCTCTCTTGCTCTCTCTCGCTCTCTGTCGCTCTCTCTCGCTCTCTCTCTCTCTCTCGCTCTCACTCGCTCTCTCTCGCTCTCTCTCGCTCTCCCTCGCTCTCTCCCGCTCTCTCTCTCTCTCTCTCTCTGCTCTCTCTCTAGTCTCGGCTCGAGAGTGCCCTGCACTCATAGCGTAGCCGCGACGCGAAGCGCCCCGCTCTGGAGTCCCGACTCCAGGCCTCGCGAGACCGGAACCGCGCCAGCAGCGCGGTACTGATTTGCGTCCCATCCTCCCTCCCACCAGAGCGCCCGCCGCAATGGCCCCCGCCAAGCCGGAGCGCCGTCGCTCTTCCAAGCAGCCGCCGAGCTCACGTCCTGCAGCTGAAGGATCCCTCCTCCAACGCAAACAGGACTGCATTGCAGCCTTCAAGCAAGCGGGGTCTGACCGCCCCACAGCCGCATACAACGGGCTCGCCGAGCTGAACGCGGACGAGCTGCAGGCCACGTACGACATGCACAAGACCAACACCAAGAAGCTCGGCAGTGCCTTGATTCGCATGTGTGCCGCCAACCAGATCAGCTACACGCTGGATCACCACCAGCGCAGCAAGCCTAAGCGCAATGGTGGTGACACATCCTATCCACCAGCTGCGTCCGCACGTCTTCAGGCTGCGGACGCCAAATTTATTGCCTTGGACCCGGCCTTCTGGAAGGTCCCAGTCCTGGCCGAACCCACATCACTCGACGACGGCAAGACGTACAAGCCCAGCATCAGCCTCCACGACTACGAGAGTGGCGAGCGGCTGCTGCAGCACCATCTCGAGCAGGGTAAGCGTACCACGGGTCAGCTCGCGATCGCTGTCATGGGCCCAAAAAACGACAACTACGTCGGCACCGAGCTCGCCGTCCCCGTGCTGAAGCGCCACCCCAAGGCGCCCAATGTGGTTCACACGCACGTCCCCGTGACCGTGTACCAGCTGGGCACCAAGGAAGTCGCCTGCACGGAAAAAGTAGCCGTCGCCACCATTGATCCTGCCGACCACGTATGCTGGATTCGGGTGACCATACATGAAACCGAAGCCATCGCCGCAGTCCCCTCCATGCATCAGGCCTTCGAGGATCAGTTTTCGGGAGGCGCCCCCGTGAACGGTGGTCCACGCGCCAAGGGTCCTTTCCGAGGGGATTCCGCTCCACAGGACAAGGCGCGCCAAAACCAAAAGCACAGGGAGTCTAAGAAAGACGCTCGCCGCCAGGAGCTCGACAGTCAGCTGCAGGACACCTTCAAGGCCCTTTTCCACGGCAACTTTAAAGCCGTCACTATCCTCGAACCCTGCAAAAGTCTAGGCAGGTACGGATCTGGTGTCGGAAAAAGGTCCCTGGCTGCCACTTTCGGCGTCAGTCTTCAAGCAGTTGACAAGGTCTTGGCGGGTTCGGGGCAACTCGGCGCCACCTACGACCTCAGCAACGTAGGTGCGGACGAGCCCACGGCAGACAAGTACCAGACCGTGTGGTTCCCCGAGGACCAGCCCATCACGATGGCAGAGGCGTTCCAGAAGTCGGTGGACTTCAAAGCCCTAGGAGTCGTCAGGCACGGCAAGTCAGGCTTATTGGGGATCCGTGTTGCACGTGGGTCAGACGCCGCCAAGGCCGCTGCCGTCAGCATCCGTGGCTGCGAAGCCACTCTCGCCAAGACGCGATACCGCATCACGGGCATTGCGGCACGCCATGCCACGCTGACTCAGCTTGCCAAGACTCTCACGGGCCCGTCCGTCAAATGGGACTGTGAGGTCTACCACACCGCCTGGGACCCAGCCACTTCGGCGCAGTTTGCCTTAGTGCGCGCTCATCGTCCCCCACCCACATATACGGTACAGGTCGCAGGGTGCCCCATCCCGTGGAGCATCACCGAGGCCCCGTTGGCTGAGGTCGTGCCGAAGAGGGACAACGTTACCATTGTCACCCCTACCACTATCACAGAGCCTGTGACGCCGCCCGCC